ACTTTTTTTTCAGTTAAAAATAAATTTAATGTACCCGTGACATCTTTCCTTTCATAGTTTTTAACCTTTGTATTTTGTTCATAAGAACATTTGTTTTTAATTTTGCACTCCATTGACATGATCGTAGATGTATAAAATTTCATTTCAAATGCTCAAAGGCTTATCAAAATATTGAGCGCATACAAAGTTTAACATCAGACAGAATTTTGAAATTATTACCTTGACCTCAAAATCAAGAGGAATCTTCTATGGGCCATAGTGAGTTGTGTAAAATTTCACTGCAAAATCTCAAAGGCTTCTAGAGATATTGCATGGAAATGAAAGTGTTGCAGACAGACAGAGCTACAGACAGACGGATTGAAATTATTATCCTCCACTTTAAGGGAGGGACAACAAACGAGCAAGATCAGCTAGCTTTGTCTCTTCCCGAACTATCCGTGTTGTGCTATAACAAATCAGTTCTCTAATTTGCATCGGGATCGAAATGATTTAATGAAAACGATACTAAAACAGGTAAAAACTGAATGGATAACTTCATAATCTGTAATTAACCATTATTTATGCTGTAGATTTAATTACGTAAGTAAAATACATTTAACATACTTTACACTAGACCTTCAACTGTCTGACGCCTCAAACTCTTCGTGAAATGAATTCATACATTTGTATGCTACGCTGTGTAGGACAGATTTCTTGATCCGACGTGAACCAGTCAAATTTCTGCGAACCAAGTTCTTTAAAGAATAATTTGGAACCCTGAACTACAACTTATAAATAAATAAGCATTTATAGATTACCGTGATGTTAAATAGGAATTTCTTTGTTTAATCTGAGCAGATTTTACTGAAATAAAGTTAGTAAGAGTGATTTACTGCAGAACTACCTCCCAGAATTCCAACACACGCAAGCGCATTTGAAGTTCTTCGTATTATACCTAGTCAGCCCCTGGGTGACTCGAATATTTAGTCTTCAATACCAAAAAATCTGAAGAGTACTGTATTTTGTTTTATAAACTGTACACATAATTGGCATTTGAAGATTATCACTTTGTTTTTGTTCTTTCTCAATTCATCTTGGCTAGTTGATAATAACGGAATTTCCTTTAAAAATTCCGGAAATTATCAGGATTCCACACTCTTGCGCGTGCTCATTAGATTGAGAATGTGTCTAAAACGAGTAGTATACACGGACCAGGAAATCTATCAAGACTAAATCTTTCAGATACCTTTTGTTTTTCTCATAGTCAATAGTATGTAGCTTTGTCAAGCGTTCATTCGTTTCAGCTGCAGGCTGTCAAATTAAATAGTTTTTTTAAAAGGATATCGTCTCAAAATGGACAAAACACAAATGAAAACATTATTTACAAAGACGTTTGGAACTGAAATATGCTAATTTTTTATTCCCCCGTAAACGAAATTTAGGGGGTAAATATTTTTTGTTGTGTCTGTACGTCTGTCTGTCTCTCTGTCCGTTTCTCTGTTTGTTTGTCCGCAAAAACTTTAACCTTGCCAATAACTTTTGATTTAGAGGAGTTATGACTTTCATACTCACATGTGTATTCCTTGTGACAAGATCTTTCTTTGGATACCACAAAATTTAACCTTTTTACCTGATCTTGGAATTTAACCAACTTTTACACAAAAATTCCAAACTTTTACTTTGGCTATATCTTTTGAACAGTATATACCAGGACATTTATACTTCACACATATCTGTATCTTTTTTGTAAATGTCCGATAGGCACGCACATGGGTGTATTCATAATAATGTCACTCCGTGCATGTATTGGTCAAAGTCTAGTGTACACTAAAAATGTTAAAACTATATAGAAATTACTTTGTCAGCTTTGAATCACAATTGTCATAAATATTGTACATTACAGACGTAATAATTATTGTACCATTACAGACGTATTTTTTTTTCAAAAAAATGGATTTAGTTTAAATATCGAAGATTATGTTTACAGACTCAAAATTAAAAGCTACAGCCATGTAAGACCATGAAACCATTAAATCACGTTAGGCCATCTTTAATCGGTGTCACAATTTATTGTGGTATAAATCTTTAGCCAACCACCCCAACTTTTGTTGCAGTAAACATGTTTGGTTGCCCTCTCCCGAACAATTGACTTAATTGGTTCGACTCAAAACTTGTTTTTACATTCCAGGACACTGTATTTTTTCACACCTCTTTTCCCGTCAACAAGGATATTTAAATTTTCTGGGGAAAAAAATTCCACCTACAATGTACCTACCGGCCCCATTTATTTTATCCTGAGTCGGGAGACGGCAAGTAAACGTTATTTTAAGATGGCATTAGATCAAGGTTTATGTCTAATCGGCGTCACAATTTATTGTGGTATAAATCTTTAACAAATTGTACAAGTTAATGTCTCTAACATTCTGTGAAAAACATTGGATTAATGAAAATTTCAGTCGTGGTAATTTTTTTGACCAATATATGATGATTATACTCAATGCAAAAGGTTACAAGGGATATAATACAGGCACGTAGCTACGGGGGAGGTGTCCCCTACTTCATTGGAAACATAACCTTTTTACTAATGAAAATCCTCATTGAAGGGTCGGTAGCCAACCACCCCATCCCCCACTTTTGTTGCAGTAAATTCAAGAAAGGGTGATTTTGAGTAGTTGTGTATGAATAAGATTTGACACTGAAAGAGGTGGAACCTACACCTAACACCCCTCCAACGATATACGATTTTTATGCCCCCGTAAATGAAGTCTTTGGGGTATATATTTTTTGTCATGTCCGTCCGTCTGTCTGTCTGTCTCTCTATCTACATGTGTATCTGTCTAATTGTCCACAAAAACTTTAACCTTGCCCAAAACTTTTGATTTAGTAGAGCTATGACTTTCGCATTTCACATTTGAAATTCCTTTTGAGAAGACCTCTCTTTAGGTACCACCAAGTTTGGCATTTTGACCTTTAAGGGACAGCAAAATAAAAAGGTACTGTGCTTCACCGTACCTTTTCCGGGTTTCAGTTCAGAGTTTGATATGATTTAATACAACCTCTGTAATACGAATAAGAAGAAACAAATCAGAGATATCTTCTAAAAAAATTCATTCATATTTAGAACAGTCTTTCTACAAAACACTGAAGTATGGAGTAACATTCCTCTATAAATATACGCACATGTACAATTCGAGTGTGACAAAAACTTCACCCATTACCCCCGGAGTAATAATCCTCCGTAAGACCAATGCAAAGCTTCTGAAGTCTGAAAATTCACTACAGAGTAATATTCTTCTAAGGTTATTTACAACTCTTAAACTAAAACAAGAATGTTGTAAGGTTCAAGTAAGACAAAATCTCGTATACAGGGTAATATTCCTCTAGAAGATTTTGTACGATGATTATAAGAGAAAATCTGAACTATGTAGTAATATTCCTCTAAGTGCAGCTCTACTACGACGAAACTTATCTACAGAGTAATATTCCTCCAGAACGCTAAGTATGCAAAGTTCTATTGAAGCAATATCTGTATTACGGAGTAATATTTCTCTCTGTCGACGAAAACTTAATTACGGAGTAATATTCCTCCAGAAGGCTATACCTATGTATGCACAGCTCTATTGAGCCGAAATCTAACTACGGAGTAAAGTCTATTAAGACAAAATATAAACTACGGGGTAAAAGTTTTCTATGTACAGATCTGCTACGACAAACACTTATCTAGGGAGTAATATTCCCCCAGAAGGCTTATATTACACAGTTCTATTAAGTCTTAATCTGAGCCACAGAGTAATATTCCTCTATGTAATGCTATACATGTACTACGACGAAAGTTTATCGACGGAGTAATAATCCTCTAGATATTTACAACACTTAGAGGTAAAAACATATCTTTGAAATACTAGTAATATTTTTCTGGAGGATTGCAATTCTGACTGAACAAAAAAATAAACTACGTGATAATATTCAATTGAAAGACTTTGAGGAGCTCTAAAAAGACAAAATTTCATCCAAAAAGTAATATTTCTCTTAAAGACTGCAATTCCAATAAAACAAAATATATACGGGGTTCCTCAAAAAGGTTATTATGACACAAATGAAACAAAATCTTATTTACATCCTCTACAAAACGAAAATTAACTACAGAGTAAATAATATATCTGATAGAATTTGTGTAGTTGTAAAAAGACATCTAGAATGCGAGGTGAAAACTCAGCATAAGTGGAGGTAAACAAAGTCTTTTCTACATAGTAATATTCCTCCAGGAGGTTATGTATGCACAGTTCTATGAAGGACAAATTGCACTATCGTAGGAGTTTGTACAGTTCTAAATAAGAAAATTACGGAGTATTATTCCTTTATGAGACTATATGTACTTCATTCTCAAAAAAGACAATATCTGAATTACAGAGTAATATTCCTCTAGGAGGCTATGTTAATCTCTATTAAGACAAAATATGAACTACGGAGGAATATTCCTCTAGAGGTCTATGTGCATTTCTAATAGCCATTAGGGCAAAATCTGAACTACGGGGGAATATTCCTCCATGATGCTATGTACATTTCTGATAGGGCAAAATCTGAACTACGGAGTTATATTCCTCTAGAAAGCTATGTTCATTTCTTATAAGACAAAATCAGAACTACGAAGGTGTGTTCCTCTCGAAATTTACATACATTTCTAATACAACACCACTAGGAGACTTTGTACATTCCTAATTAGATGAAATATGAACAAATGAGTAATATTCTTTTGAATTCTACGTAGAGTTCTTGTAATACAAAATGTGAACTATGCTGTTATAATATTCCTCTAGACGGCTTAGTACAATTATCATTTGAAAAACTGTGGAGTAATATTTCTCTAGAGGGCTTTATTCAGTTCTACTAAGAAAAGAATACTAGCTCCAGAGTGAAACTTTTCTTCTTGGAGGCTAAGCTATTCTATGTACATTCTTTTAGTAGGTTCCTTACAGTTTTTTGTGAGAAAAATAAAATACTCCACGTATTTTGTTCTAAAAAGATATACGCAGCTCTTGTGAGACAAGATCAATATCCGAAGGCACTGGAAGGCTAAATACAGTTCTATATACATATAGTTTTTACATAAATAGCTACGTTGAAATTGATGTGAATAAGGTTTGATGAGATGGTTTCGAGTGCACAGGTATTGCCCTCGCCTTCATTTTGAACGTGTGGATGAATTGAATAGTGGTATATTAGACTAAACACGCAGGGACAGATCCTATGGTATCCTTGCACAGTTACTGCAGCATTCAAAACTTTGGTATGTAGTGGAGCATCTTTGTTGTCATATATTTTTCCAATCACAGAAAACGCTGCATCTAGAAGCTTCGTGCGTATCCAATAGAGAGAAATCACTGATGCACTCTTATGTACCTAAAATGAGTTATTTTACATGTAAAATTCAGCATGAATAAGTTTTACATACATGTATATAATACGTAATGTTCTGAGCACGCCTATTAATTCAAAAAGATACTAGGTCAATCTCTTCCGTGCATGCTTTTTTTCAGAAATGATAAATCTGCATATCATTTACATATCGGTCATGATAAAAAGGGTTTTGAGGATGCTCCTTTAATAACTACGGAATGTGCAAAGTCAAATTAATTCTTTATTTTAAAACGCATATCAAATTATTAACATAGCTACGTTCAAAACCTGATTTTAATGAAATAGTTTACATGTACTTACACGATGAATAAATTTCACAAACATAACGTTAACGTTGTATGAAAATATATTTTTTAAAGACTAATTCGTTTTTTCAGCAGATAATCTACAAAGATAATAAACTGGTAAGCATTTTCTTTGATGGACACATGATATAGAGATTCATGTACATTAAGTTTAATTCTACTTACAATGTAAATAAAGCCTTGTTTATTCCTAACATCATCAACATATTAAGCGATTATTTGTGTTGAATAAAAGATATTTTAAGAAGGTAATTTTCTCAAGTAAAATCGACCGAACTGATTAAAAAGAAAAGTTCAAAGAATGGGCAAATTGCTTGGAGTCCTACTTTAAGGACAGATGATACAAACTTTTGTCAAAGATTTTGAAAAAAGCAAGTTGGGTCATGTGTAATTTGAATGTGTAAATTGAATAACTTTCACCGCGTAGTTTTTAACTTTTTATTCAAATTTGCACAAAAATGGAATTGATTAGATTAATAAGGATGGTTTCAGAAGGGCATACTTTTGAACATTAGAGAAGGTTTAAAATTTCTTTATTTTCTAGAAATTTATTATTTGCATCATTTGCAATGAAATTAGACCAAAAAATATATACCAATCCAGACATCCATTTTTGGTTTGTATCATCTGTCCTTAAACCAAAATATGTTTAGAAATATATTATCCTAGAAGAAATATAAAGTCTTATCAATATCTTTTATCGAATATGTAGATAGACACAGTAATTACTGTTTCAGTCTTAAAAGATGAGGGGATCCAGAATTGTTAATTGACCCTGCAAAACATATACCATTATGGACCAGCGGGTTAAATTTCCAATGTGGGTAAAAACGCCATTTCTCGGTGCAAAGAATGTATTTTTTCCCTTTAAGTGAAAACCCCTCTGAGCCATAACTCTCATTCCCACTGACATTTAAAACAAAAAATTCATCTGTAAGAACATAAATTTTACTCCACTTATTAGATGCTTTAGTTTTTTTCCTGAAAGTTTAAGGAAACAGAAGTTAATGGTATTAAAAAATTATATCAGTAAAGGGTTAAGTAAACTTATCTGCTTATTGTTGTAGATGAAAAAAAATGTTCCTGTTTTTATTTATATATTCATTTTGTATTTTTTTTTAAATATTATCTATTTTTTGTCTCGCTAAAAGCTTGTATAGTAGAGCTTTGAATCGTTTATTTTAAATAGATAAAATATTTATATAGATAAAATAAAGGCACACATTGCTACATGTAGTAATATATAACCCTATCCTACAAAAAATAATAAATTATTTTTAGAGAAAAAGTTATGTTATATTTCTTTTTAATTTTTGCCAAAAGATCTCTCTCTCTCAGTTCAGAAGTGTTTTAGTAATATTTTGAAAACGTATAGTTAGTAACGGGTATTTAAAGTCTTGTTATAAAACAACATGGCATATTAAACAGACATTAACTACAAATCAAACTTTTCTCCGCCACCACCCACTGCGAGTATCTTGTAATACTCAAGGATGCAGATTATATTTTATGCGTGCTGGTCATAGAACGATCAAGGGAAGCTGTTCGCTAATCAATAATGGCAATTTAACCATGACAAATAGTCTGCAATTGATCATACAAAGACCTTTCTTAGCTTTGAAACTATTTTGGAAATCATCTGGGTTGGCTAATTTAGTGTTAATATTCTCACAGATTGAACGGGCATGAAAAACAAATTTTTCCTTGAACATAAAGTTTATAGCTAACTTCAAATTTTAGAATTGAAATTATGTCACTCTTTGATAAACTGTAACGTATACGTGGCTTTTGTAAAAGGCTTCCTCGTTTTTTTTTTAATGTGCTTGTTTTAATTGTGTTGCAGTTTTAAAAATTTGGTATTCATATTTATTTTAACACAAAAAAATTAATTGAAATCAAGTGTGGAAGTATGACTTGAACCTTAAATTGGTCTGAGGAGTATCGATAATTGCATGAACCAAAGATGCACAAGTTCGATTAATTTAATTGAAACTTGACAATACTTAAAATGCAAATTGTAGTCTTCTAGTAAACGAAAATGTGTATAATACATGTAATGTCTTGTAACATCCGTCACAAATACATGTAGATATTAGATCTTTATATGAACAAGACATTAACATGAAAGGGCTTTCAACTTACAATGTATCTGAATGTTGAAAATGGTAGACATGTAAAGAAACTGTGTTTACGGAGAAAGATTTAAGACAGACTTCTGTTTACACCGTCCTTTTTTGAAACCTGTACCAACTGCAAGTAGGTGTACATTTAATGTATATTTAGGTGCTACGTACTAATATTTATTATTCTGTCTGTCCTAGTTTCGGTTAACTATAGAAACCAAAAAGTCTTACCTGATTGCAAGAAATCCAAAACGGAAAGCTTTTCTACCTAAACTTCTAGACTGTAGTGGAATTTTTTCCTAAGGAAAAGATCCAGATTTCCAGACAAAAAACAAACTCAGGCCAGTTTTCTTTCCCTAAAACTTTGCAGGAAAAATAAGAGGTTAAGATACATGGTGCACCCAGATTGTATACAGCTTAAAATAAGTCGTGCAGAGCACCTGAAAAAAGTGTTTTTACGTGTAAACATACGTATTATATACTCAGTGTATATCTACATGATCTAGCTATTGTAAAAATAAGTACCTGTTCTTGTAGTAAGACTGGAACTAATTTGTAACAATTTTAAATCTTTATTCTTCAATCGTTATTTTATTTGTTTTTTAATAAATCCATTATCTATTTTTTTGAAATATAGGAATGAAATACTTAACTTCAGACTTACCAAGTTATCCAAGACTATTGTTGCTTCAATGTTGAGAAAAATATTTAGATTCGTCACAAGGGTGTTTCAAACTCCTTTTCAGTAACTAATGCTGCGTAATATCATGGATAGATTGACTTCTTTGTAAATGTACTGAGAAGTCCAAGGTTTGTAATATACGTCCTCAATATCCCGCATACTCTGTATCACAAAACAAACCGTTCATATGTATGAACCTTAACGAACTACAATTAGTTAAATTATATAACACTTTTGCTGCAACCCAAAGGAGATTTGAATAAAAGTTTGATTTTTGTTCCATTTTCTCTTATAATGATTCAGCTCATTTCTCATGTCTGTTTATTATTGGTGGTTCACTGTAAGAATGCACACGTGTATTCCTAACACCACCAGGAAGTACTACCGGTAATTATTTTGATATGTGATCTAAGGCTGTAACTCGATTCCTGCATGTATGTATTTCGTAATATCATGAATATCTGACTCAGCGTAGTAAATCCCCCATCACAGACACCCTCCCTCACACACACCCTCTCAGGAATAGGATTTTCTTTTGAATTTTGATATTAAAAAATTTCTAGCTATTCCTGCATGTATGTATTTCATAATATCATGAATATCAGACTCAGCGTAGTAAATCCCCCATTACAGACACCGTCCCTCACACACACACACCCTCGCCTACCCCCCCCCCCCCCCCCCCACACACACACACTTTCAAAAAAACGATGCTACGTCCCTGCGATAAAAGTACAGAAAATCACTTTTGGTGCGTATTGTCCCTCCACAAATTTCATGTACAATAAAGTGCAATTTAACAAATCAGCAGTTACTAACGTAAAAGCATACTACTGAAAATAAAAAATATCTTTTGATTGCCGATTGATAGGAGAAGGAAGAGAAATGCTGCTTATTAACAAATCAGTAGAAATTTAAGATTAAAATTACCTTAAAAAACATAATTTTAAATATCTTGTCAAAAGTTATTCCTCCAATCCACTGGCATTAGTCTTGGGAAATGTAAAAACAGAATGATCGAATGTTGTCTAGTCGTATTAAAATTAAATACGAAAAATATATTCTAAGTCCAAATATCAAAATATTTTATTTACGTGACTATAGTTTTTTGTTGCCTTGCTCTTCCAATAAAAGAAAAGTTTTGTGCTTCCTGATGCTTCTCTGATCCGCGTGATTTGACCTTGTCGTAATGAGTTTTGATCAAAATGCCACATCAAATGATCAATTTTTATCTCCAGGGCACTCTTACCTTGGTTAATTTCATATTTTATTATAAAGATATGAGACAACAATTTTACACATCAAACCAGTGATCTTGTCTATGTCCATATGACCATTGCGCCTCTAGTTCTATGATTAGTATTATCTTTAAATGTTTTCTATATCAAAATTATGGATATTTCTCAAACCAAATTGCTGCATTTCATTTCCTGAAACCTGCATAGCATTTCAAACATTTTTTTTTTTCATTTCCGACATTTTTTCTTTTCATTTCCGACATATTGTTTTTTTTTTTCAATTTCGGAATTTACCTGTCCGGCAACTTAATGTTTGCCAAGTAAGTGAAAATGGAATTTAAAAGTATTTATTGCAAAATATTAAAAAAAAATTATAACTCGTATTTATTGTAAACTACGTGATAGAAAAATGTAAAACTCAATCTTCTATTTTTCAGGGAGAGGGCTAAAATAGGCTGCGCCTGCTGTTCAATCCTATTCACAATAACACCAGTGAATAAAATATTGTTTAAATTAAATTAATCTTCTATTTAGGTTCCCGTTCTTTAAAATATTCTTCTACCGATAAAGTATCCCCTCTACGATGACTTTTTTTTTTTTACCTCGACTTGGTTCTGTATGTCTGTATGATACAAACAAACAAAATATGCCAGAATTGATATACAATAAATTGACTAATTTTGGTCGAAGGCGTGGCAGAATAAACCCCAGAGTCCTATAAAAAAGAAGTTGAGACTAATTAGATATACATTACCTGTTAAAAAAAATAAAATGTTTTTTTTTTTGGTTGCATTTCATTTCCGGAACTTTTTTAAACTTTCAACTTTTCATTTCCGACAATTTTTAGTCCCCCCCCCAACATTTTAAAGTTTTCATCTTCGACATCTTTAAGGTATTGCTTTTCGGTAATGAAAGTAGGATTGAATAATTCACTGATGAAAATTTTTAAAGAATAAATTATAGTATATCATATTCTTGGACATAAGTTCGGTACAGTCGTTGACAATTTTATGAACACTGAATGTTATTCTTACAAATGCATGCTCATTTAGACTTGGTGCTTCATGACAGATCTATATTTACAACAGATTTTTTATTTGTTTTTAATCTGTTAATATTTTGAGAAAATTATTTTGAAATACAGAAATAAATTAATTTTAAAATTTGATTTCCTCCTACTTTATTAACATTAAGTTGCTCAAGAGGTACCTTGCAAAAATTTCGGAAATGAAAAGTGAAATAAATATATATCAGAAATGAAAAGAAAAATTGTCGAAAATGAAAAGAAAAATTGTCGGAAATGCTATATTCAGATTTCCAGAAATAAAATGCACCAGCGCTTTTTTTTCGGATATTTTTCGGAAATACATGTAGTTATATGGAAGTTATGTCTTTGAAGAAATAAGACATTTTGATAGGACAATTTTAAATAGTTTTAGGACAAATTAAGTTAGCTTTCGTTCAGACAAAAAAAACGTTTTTCTTGAGACAATTTGATTTTTGATTGAAATGAGCTTTATTTTTCTGCGCAAAGTAACCATGATTGCTCTGATAATCGATCAAGGATGCGTTGTAGAATATCAAGAATGTTACAATAAATCACGAATTAATGCACACTGGTGATAAAACTATGATTTAATTAAATATTATATCATACATGTGGTCAATGTGGTTTTCCCCCTCTCTATTCTTACCCGCTGTTGCAGTTTCATAGAAGTTTTGTGGCAGGTTAAGGATACAATACGCAAGTTTCGAGATTGCACTTCTCCTACGATAGAAGCGCGAAAAGTATCCATTTCAGCATGGAGGTGGGACAGGTTGTTTCTCTATAGATACAAGCGTGCATAAATAAATGAACGATATTTATTGTTAAAATTTACGAATACGTAATATCGCGAGTACCTCGCAGTTGTCTTAACTTACCGCCGCTCTTTTGCGGGAGAGTCGAGAAAGCTCTAGATTTTGGGGACACATCGATCATTTTAATGCCGAAGGTGCAATGTATTGCCAAGAATTGGACTCCAAATACAGGTGTAGTAGATTGTCAACTAAGGAAAGTTTAGAATATTGAATGGCTTTAAAATGTGACGATTATCAATAAAAATTTAATGAGAAAAGCCCGCTGAGTTAAAAATATCGTTAAAAATGTCACATTTTGGGATTAGCTGGTCTCAAAAATTAATTAAGCTTGTTCAGCGACTTTTAAGCAAGGTATTCCAAAAGGATTTTTTTACTTATCTATCCTTATTTATAAACTCTACAATAACCGATCTTGCATTGTATTCAATAGCACATTTGACCCCATCCAACAGACGTTTCCTACCTCCATCGCGAAAGAGTTCCGCTAAGTTGAGTAATCGCGATATAAAGTATTGTTATAGAAAGATAATAATGTTGAGCAGTGATGCATTTGATGATTTTATCAAGCTCAACTATGCATATTATTCACAAATCTACTCTTACTAATACTTATAGGTACTTGAAAACGAGAGAAACGTCATATCTTTATAAAAAGTACATGTACATGTTACTGATTTTCTTCATTGTACAATCATTTCCTTTAAAAGTTTGTGGGTTTCTTGAAGTTATAATAAGGAATCATTTAGATTCCGACGTGTAATGATCAGATGCAGTTGTATCGTACTTATAAGAGGTCCATATGTGTTTCCTCGTCTGAAAATTGTATTTTTTCTTAAAATCTTATCATCTACGGGATTCGTCTTATTTATGTCTAAAAAAGGATAATTTACAAAATACATGTAAGTTAATAATACGCGTCGTGGTGAAACCGGGAAGATGAATTTCGCTGGATGTCAGTCAGGCGCGGATCCATAATTTTTTTCCAGGGGGGGGGGGGGGCCACCACAGTCAAAACAAAAACCTATTTCGTGGGGGGTGGGGGGGATATAGTGGTGACTTTTGTTGTTGCCTCAAATCTTTCACCTTACATACCCATTTCAAATATATTACCAGAGGGGTCTGCGTTTTCCAAGGGGGGTGCATGGTAACTTTTTTCTTGTTTTAGTATATACATTTTTTTAACCTGATAAATTCCAGGGGGGTCCTGACCCCGCCGACCCCCCCCCCCCCTATAGATCCGCGCATGTCAGTTGAGTGTGTTACACACTTGAACTTACACCTGACCATAAGAATGTTTCAAATCGACTTTCATGCTAATTTGATGAGGGTTTCGTGCGTACTGCATGCTCAGAGAACGAACGTGTAAATGGGTTGAACAGATGAATATAAACCAAAGTTGTGGAAATTAAAAATCATTAGAATTATTAATTGTGAATTCAATATAATTTAAAAACATAACACTTTACGAAAAGAATGCTTTCCGTATGGACGTGAAATACGCTCAGATATTATTATATCAATTTCGTGTTTCTGCTGTCAATTCTCTGATCTAAAACAAAATTTTAAGTCAATTATACTCAGGAATATACTTTCACTTAGATCCTGCACTAAAACTTTGATTAAATACAGCTCAAATTTTATTCGACATATTTAACACGAATTCAGTTCAGTTCCGTTCAGCTATTTCAATTGGTCTGAGATTAAATTACTCATTTGGAATTCCATTCAAAGTTTTAATACGAAAAATTGAATAAATTATTTTACAAATATAAATTTCTAGAAACACCATTAATTCATATGAAATAGGCCTTTAATTGTCACCAAAAATGTTCTTCTAAGTAAACTATGTTATGACATATAATCGAGCAAAAACGCAGTTTCTTGATATCGGTCGCGCAAGATGAACTATACTGCTGTATATGCAGCAGTTTCAGAGGTAAAACTGTAGATGGACATGTCATCCATCGTCGCAAACCACGGCCAAAATATACGATCCTCTCCCATATGCGGACTCCGGACCGTTGCTTGAGACGATGCATGTCATCAGTCTCCAAAACATTCCTAGAGATGCGGAGAAGAAAATA